CAAAACAAGTAATGTTTAATCTTATTCACATTCAGTATTTTTGACATAGGCAAATAGATTTAAATATAATCATCTAGTGTACTATATAAATATTTCCCTAATATATGCACTATTTTTTTTAAGTGTAGGTGAGTTTTACCTCGCACTTTTCCCCTCTGATCCAGTTCATTAGGAGACGAGTGCCGAAATAAAACAAAAAAGCGAGCGAGCTGTGCAAAAACAAAAGGCAAACTGCAGTCTGACTGGGGAGTCGAGTTTAAATAGAGTTTCGCATGTTCAGGTACGGAGACACAGTTCCATCGCTCACTGATTGCACTTATTACTGATCCCTGATCCCCTCCTCGAGCTGCATTAGGGTGTTTAAATGTCGGAGCATTACATTTTTAATTTGATGGATCAACAGAATAAACGAATCGTAAGCGAGGCAGCCGGAGTTTAGCACCGGGTAATTGGGGAATCTGCTTCAGTTTGACTTTCGGAATTTCCCAACCCCCATTTTCCATTTTCCATTCCCCTGTCACCCACCTCGTTCGATTTCCATTGATTGGCTGGCCGGAGGAGAAGGAGTTTCGGGTGCGGGTGCAGGGCACCAGGAATCAGGAACCAGGAATCAGGAATCAGGAGTCAAGAGTTAAGAGCTCCCGTCTGAGTGTGTCATATTTGCGGAGACGCTTTATGGAGTTCCTGCGATGGCAGATTGAACTAATTGGGAGTCATTTGCATAGCGGAAATGTCTCAAATTTTATGGCTTTCAATAAGCTGGCAAAGTGGAAAAGTCTTCAACAAATAGTCAATTCGCTTTGGTTGCAGCAAATGCATTTGAAAAGATGAAACAGAAGAAAGTTTATTGCAAAGACAAGAAAAAGGTATTTTAGAAGGATTCTTAATTTTGTTATTTAAAAAAAGTTTGATAAAACTATGTAATGATGTATAATTTGAGTGTAGTTTTCATTTAAAAAATATAGATGGAAGAATGTATTTTAATTTTAAAAAATACATGGAAAATGTTTTAAAGGTTATGATGATTCTTAGCTAAGATTTATAGGAAGATTGATTGCTTCAAATAATTAAAGAACATTTGAAGAAGTCATAGTACATATTAATTTCAATGTATTTGCTTATAGTTAGTTTATAAAAATGTGCAGATTAAGTTTGTAATATTCAAAGGTATATTATTCTTACGAGATGAAAACATTAAACGATAACATTTAAGTGTTTTTTTGTTCTTGTCTTATCAAATGCCTCAAAGATCCTTAAGTGTAAATTTTTTCCATCTTACTATGGAGTGGCTTTAAAGGATTTTGCATCCCTCAAGTGGACAGTGGTCCCCCCTTTAATCGAACCCCCTTTTTCATGACAGTGGCAGCTGCTTTGATGCAACTTTCGATGACGATGGCGATGATGATGCTGATGGAGCAGCGTTTTAAGTCCGCCTTCTGGTCAACATTTGCTGTTGTGTCCATTGTCCTGGTTTCCTCTTACCATCACCCCCCCCTCGCCCCTCTCGATTACCCCAACCAACCACCCCCTCTTGATTTCCTTGATTCTGGCCGCTATTGGAGCCCATTAATCATGTCATGTAATGCCGCCATAAATCCAACAACAATTTTGCTGCCCAGCATTGTAATAAAGCAGGGGGGTTGAGGGGTGGTGACCCCGCCTCCCGCCCCTTCCACGCCCCTGGCAGCGCCCCTTTTTGTCCACATGGCGGCTGGGCAATGCATTTTATTAAATGACCAAATGAAAAGTCGCGCTTGTTGTCTGCCTTACTGACAGGCGGGAAAATCGCAAAGAGGGGGTGGGAAAAATGGTGGGGAAAATCGCCAAGGGAAGAGGGCGTATGGGTGCTGTGAATTGGGCGAAAAGGGGGGTGTTGGGTGGCCTTGCATATTTGCGGCGCGCATTAAATTTGGCTGACAACGGCGCATGAAACATGGCCATCAATACGCTCTTGTCAATGTGCATGTGTGTGTGTGTGTGTGGGTTTCGTATATGCGTGTGTGTGTGTGTGTGGGGAGGGGGGTATGTTGTATCTGTGTGATGGTATCCAAGTGTGCGTGTGTGTTTGGCATGTGGGCGTGTATGCAAACGCAATATGGCGACCGCAATGCTTCGGGTATTTCACAAACGAGCTGCAAAAGGGGGATCGAAAACGCCAGTGGCGGTGGTGAGGGGGCGAGGGGGGGTGCTGGCCCTCTTGCATATTGCAGTTCGACAAAAAAAAAATCCAGCCATTTCCCTGGGAAATGGCCAAAAAGACGGGAAGTCCACATACAACAAAAAAAGTATTGCAACACATATGAAAGAAGAGGCAGATATGCCATAATGCAAGGCAGCGGCCATAACAACAACAGTCGAAACAATAACAACAAAATCAATTGAGTGCTAAAAACCAGCAACAACAACAACAATGATAACAACGAGCAAACAAACAAACAAACAACAATAACAATGGCCAAGGAGGAGTGGCATTGTCGTTAACGCTCAGACGTTCAAAAAAAAATAAAATAAAATTCACTCACCAACAAAAATCATAAAAATAACATTAAAGAATAAAAAGGAATAATAAAATGAACCCAATGTCAAATTTAAGGAGCACCAAAGACTTTAAAACACTATCCTAAAAAGAATGAACTGAGTTTTTAATATTTATAAATTATTTAATTATTAGATTGTCTTTTTTATATATATTTGGCTTTATTTAAGAACATTTTAATTTTGACATTCTAATTATTTAAATGTAAAAAAAAGTTTTCTTACAAATTTGTAGATGGAAAAATGCTTATAAAATTTAAATCAAAATAATATTAGAACTCCTTTGTTTTAACTTAAGAGTAATATTTAAAACTGTTGCTTTAAGTTACCAGATTTAATCAATAGTATTGAAAAATAAAAAAAAATCATTTCTTCATTTTATTAAATTAGTATTCCAGATCTTAAAGTAAATTCCCCCATATAAAAGTTCTGAATGGCAGACCGCGAAGTTTTTTGCGATTTGTCCGTTTGGCCGAAAACCACGGCACAACAAAAATGTGGCGGACACACACACTCACCCCCACCCCCTGTCCATTTAACCCCCCAAAGTGCCCGCCGCTTAACCCTCCTAAGCCCCCGCACTTTGTGACAGCCGCATAACACTTGATTCGATGAATGACAGGCAGCGGCTAATGCACTTTTGCAACCGCAGCAACGTCGGCAACTTGAAGCCGTCAAATAAATTGCCAAAAAATTCCGCCAGCCGGGGGGGTTAAGCGGGGGGTTAAAAGGTGAAACAATTGCACTGGCCAGACGAAGGGGGCGTGGCCAGAGGGGGCGGCGAATGTTGGCCGGAAACTTTTTATGGCTGGTGGAAAAGAAAGCGCTGCGACGGCGAATGAATGTCACTGTGAACATGGAGCGACATGTGCACTTTATGGGTGGAAAATCGGGGGTCGGGGGCGGTAAAATGGGGGGCAATGGGGGGCAGTGACCAAGAGGAGGGGGGTGTTGCATGAGCCATGAAGCGACAAAATCAAATTGCGTTGCAACTGATTGCGCATTGCTGCAGAGCCAGAGATCGAGCAGAGGTTGTTGGTTCGCCTCGCTTTTCACGCTTTTCCTTCGGGCATTTCCATTTTGTCCAGCACTTTGACAAGCCCTTTCAAACGGTTTTTACTCCTATCTTTTTTACTCCTTGCTTAATCTTTATTAATCTTCTTGTAAACTAGCTTATAATAAAGGATTCGGATCAGCAAACTCCTTATTTAGCATGCTTTAACTTGGTTAAATATAGTACGATTATGAAATGTTATTTTTGGGCTTATTTGGCATCTTCATAAATACTTCGAATATTTATAAATTAATTTCATTGATTCTTTCCTTAAACTCCATAATACAAAATCATTGAACTAATATTTTTATTTTTTAACAATACCCGAATTTTAATCGGCTTTAAAATTGAACTTGGCTTTTTGATTTGATTTATTACAAAATGGTGCAATATATTAATATGAAGCTTTATTTGTTACAATTTTAAGATAGAAAATAATTTTTAATATTTATTTTAAGGTTGTACAAAAATGATTACGGAAGGGCATTCAACTGCAGTGTGGTCGCCAATCTTCCACCTTTGGTTTTTTTGTGCGTCTGTTGTTTTTGGACTGGTTTTTTTCCAGGGCGGTTGGCTGACAGACACGGCGGCAGCTGTCACTTGGACAGTTGTACGAGCGGCAGTAGCAACACCAGCAACAGCAACAGCAGCAGCAGCAGCAACAGCAGCACAGCAGCAACATCAACTGCACGGCGGCAACATCAACGGAGTGAAGCGAAGCAAACACTAGCAACAAAAAGCGTCGCGACAGTGACATGAAGGCATTTTATTGAAGGCAGGAGGTGGGGATGGGGGGATGGGGGGCTGGGAGGGGGAAATGTCCCGAAGTCCTGAAGTTGCACTTTCCAGGCGGACAGCGACGAGAGCTTTCCGCCGGGCCGAAAACTGCAATGGCGGTCAGTCAGCAAATCAAGCCAAATTACAGTCAAACCTTTTCCCTAATTGTTAGCACAACACGTCTCGCTCTTTCTGGCAATGGTTTTGGCCATTGAACCGATGGAGCCGCCAATTTGCGGCTAATTAGGGCCAACTAATGGCCAAATGTTCTCACTTAGTCGGCCATTTCTGCTCCAGGATTTTGGCTCATCTCAAGCGTAACATGCGGCGTATACGTAATTTGCACGGATCTGCAAGTGCTTTAATTCTCTGCGTAAAATAAGTTGAACAATGTTGCTTATTCGGTATTAACTGGGAATTTTTGGGAATGTTTTTAAACTATTATAAAGCTCATTGAATTAATTAAATATTTTTGATAAAATAACGGAGAAATATTCAAAGAAGTTATGTCACTAAAAATTTCTTGCAAAAAGCCTTTTTCCGATATCCGAATTCAATGATTGAATGGATGGGCATGGCCAACTAGGTATGTATATTAATTTCGAACCACCCAAATAAACATTCAGTATTGGTTCCAAATAATAATATTCGAATTTTCGTTACATATGAATTTAAAACAAAAGTCACAAAACGTAAATAAAATTTAAACACAAGCCATAATTAATTTTCTAGCTTAAGCTGCAGCTAAATTTCGGTTGCCTTGGTTGCCACTATTTCAGGCTCAGCAATTTTAGGATTGGCTGATTCGGCTGCCACGATTTCAGGTTTAGCGATTTCAGAAGGTACTCTCTCGGATTTTTCATCACCATCAATTGGAGTACGTGGACTCTCAAGAACCACCATCTCGACATTCTCGACCACGGATTGCCTTGTAGGCTCTGGGTCGTCTCCTTGATTTGCTTTCTTTACCAAGGATTTGGAAGCCTTAGTCTTCGATGATTTTTTCTCAACAGTTTTCTTCGCCCTTTTGGCTTTTGGCTCAGTAGTGGTATCATTTATTTCGGCCATGGCCCGCCTCTTGAGCTCATTTCGGTGTGCGATTCTAGCCGATCGCCTCAGTCCATTTGGCGGCTGTGGATTTTCATTAGGAGTGTTAGGAGCATGCTCCGATGTCACGATTACAGGTCTCACCAAGTTTGAGTCACCTCCGGCCCCGGAATTCTGCTGCTGGTCCCCAGTTGTCGAGTTTGAAGCCGATGGCTTGTCTTTTGGTGAATTGGAATTCATTTTGGAAAAAAAACAGATTATTACTTTTTTTCAAATAGGAATAAATATTTGATTCTGTGTTGTTCGTCTTCAAATGTTCGGGGTTGAGTGAGCATGACCAGCCGTAGGAAAGCCTTACAAAAAACTGGTAGACTACTTGATTTGATGTTACATACCATTCAACATTTAATAGGAAATAATATATAAGTAGGCCGTAGCTAAGAGCTATTTAAGGGGTTATCCGGGTCTTGGAGCACGAAAAAAAGCCTATTTTCGTGAATTTTTTTAAAAGATCTTACGACAATTTCACAAATTTCGTTTATTGTAAATTAATGTTTATGGTTTAACCAACATTGTGTAAAAATTTGAACCAAAAATTTTTAAAATTGAGCCGTTGAGGCAGGCTTGAACTTGACCTCTTAAAAAATTGTGTCCTTGCGGTAGGCAAAATATCTCCATCAATTTTTATCTGAAATCAAAAAACTAAAATTATTCTGATAGTGTATGTGATTCGCTTGTCCTCTGCGAGCCATTTTTTTTTTAAATTAAAAATTGAATTTTTTGTAGCGCTTTTCATAAAAAGTGTCTTTTTTTACGTAAATTTTGGCCATATTTTGGCTTATAAAATGAGTTGTAATTAAAAACATAAAAAATCCCTCCGTTAAGGACAAGAGAATTATGTCTAAAAGAAGTGTGCAAAAGCAGAAGTTGATCGGTGCAATAGTTTTTGAGAAATCGTGACTACCGACTTCAAAAAAGTAGTTTTGAGAAAAACGCGTTTAAAGTGCCGCATCTGCCCCACGCCAGAGCCCGAATTGCCCGTTGTAAAGTTCGACGCGCTGGGCTTTAAATTTCTCCCATTCCTACATTTTTGCTTCGATCAACTTGAAATTTTCAGACAACATTTCTGAAACTTTGTACTATTATATAAAAAAGTTTGAAAAAAATGAATTTTTTGAAGTGTCAAGACCCGGATAACCCCTTAAGACTTTCATGTTAAAAAGCCTACTTGATTATTAATATTTTTGAGAATACAAATATTAAAATTATTATCTTTATATTAAATTATTTCCAGTGGCGCCCTCTTATTGCCTTTTCCTCATGTTTCCCTTGAATTATGTGAGCTGCGCAATCAGAGAAAAGTTGGAGTAAACAATATAAAAACTTTTGACCATTACTAAATGTATAATAACAATTGTATTCAATAAAAAAAGTTGGTTATTTATAAAAATAAAAACAGATATTTAAGATGGTTAATTGTTTTCTTAATAAAATATTAGACAAGTGGTAAAAATGTAGTTAGATAATTGAGGTAAAGAATATTAAAGACAACAGGAATGCGATTGTCTTAAATATAAGTAATGTTTAGTTTATATGGCAGTAATGGTTAAAGTTGTTATTTTTGTAATATGGAATTTAAATTAAGGGTTAATTTTACAAACTTGACCCTTTTTCTCTTCAGTGCACAATCACACATATGAAAATGGAATCCGGGCTGCTGGCTAGCCACAGACAACACTTCACTTGCAGTTGCAGTTTGCAGTTAGCCGGGCCCCAACCACCTCCCACCACCCACCACCCATCGGGAAGCCACCCGACAGCCCCTTAACCCCCCACCGGCCCCTTTAACCCCCTCGTGTCGGCTTAGCAGCGCCATTTTGTGTGTGTTTGTTGTGTCTGTCTGTTGGGTCTGTGTGGATTATTTGCGCGAGTGAATATTAAATTTGAACCGCAACCGAACGAGCCAAGCCGCCAGCAACAGCAATATCGCCCCGGGGGTCATGGGTGGGTTAAGGGTGGGTGGTGCAGTGGGTGGGTGGTGCAGGTGGTGGGGCGGCTCAGTGGCGCCCGGCACGCAAGTTAACTTCCGCTCTTGTGGCTAGACAGAGATGGAAATCCAGGCAGATTTTGCGTATTGCTTCTGCATAAAGTCCAATTATTTGGCATTGTTCGGCTGCCGGGGCAGTGTGGGGTTAAGGGGTGTTCATCGCTTTGCTTCCTTGTTTTTTTTTCCTTTTGGTTTAACCCACTGCAGCTGCTAATGTAGTGGCGTTGTTTGGCGGTCACGGTAGGCACTTTTTTCCAGCGAAAAACGTGGATTTCTTTTTTGAATGAAAACAAATTTGCAACTTGTTAGTCAAAGGTCAAACATGTAAATGGTCGTTGGGGAGGGGGGGTTGAATTCGGGGGGCTTCAGTGGCGTTTTAAGGGTTTATGAGGTGATGCTAATGGATTTAATAAATGCTGATGGCTTTAATAAAGTTATTTCAGCTTGAGTTGCATTTTTGGCCGAGGGGACTTGAACATACTTTGTTCAAAGGGGCTTCTGAGGGCACTTGGAAATACTTAATTAAACTTGCAGTGTGTGTTTTTTATTCCATAAAGGAGAAAAAGCGTTGCAGGTATTAGAAAACTCTTATGATTGTTTTCTGAAAAAGAAAAATCTTTAATGGCCGCTGCAGTTTAAATATCCTTTCATTCTCAGTGACTCGAGTTTAACTATATTTGATCCGCCCTTTGCAAATATAGAACCCTTAATAAATCGGAAAGTACTTCCTCACCCCGCCTTTCCCCGCCTCGGGATATTTGTTCGAGCGAACAGAATCCATATTAATATTATGTTTATGATGTTGTTGCCTCGCATAATGCGGCAAAGGCAGCGAACTTATAAATATTTATTTACATCCGGCCGAAATGCGTTAGACGAAACAGGAGGATTGCAGGCGGGGGGATGTGGGAGCATAGGGGATATATGGGATATAGAGATTCGCGACCGAAGTAAATAAAATGCTGCGACCCTCGAAATCCTCGAAACAGGGCGCAACAACCAACAACCAACCACCCCTCCCATTCGCGTTATCTTTTTGGGAAAATCGCTAACAATAAATAATTTATGTGCAGCGGCAAATGATAATGAAAAAGCCACCCCACTGAAGGGCCAATGGCTCGACCTTCTTCCTGCCATTATACAAATGTATCTGTGCGGCTACGGATACAGCTACAGATACAGCTACAGCTACAGATACAGATACATTTGCGGATACGGATGCGCGGATGCGGGGAAAGGGGACTTTTTAAGGCGATTTTCCCAGCGGCCAGTTGAGTGGCATTGAAATCGCAAATTCCAAATCCAAATCGCACAACCAACCACTTCAGTCGGTCGGTTTGGTTTGGTTTGGGTGGTTGGGTGATTGGGTGGTTGGGCGGTTCCAGGATTCCCCGGGTTCCGGCATTATCGGGCATATGCAGACGCACTTATGACGAATGTACTCCCTTCGCTTGTTTTTTTTTTTATTACTATTTTCGACCCCCCGGCGGGTATTAGATAACCAAACAATGGCATCTCGCAGCTCTCGACTCGAGAGATTTGGGGTAACTGGAACAATGCCGAGTGGAAACAGTAACCCAATGCAACCGAAAAAGATAGATAAATAGTCCTCACAGGAGCGGCGGCCATTTGCACGAAATCTGTGTCAAGGCCAGCTAAATAAATCTGGATATATTAAAAAATTCTTATTTAAAAAGTCGGATTAATATCTTTAAAACATGTTGATAATTTACATAAGGTAATTTTAAATTAATTCAATAGTATTATAATAAATACTTAGTATTTTAGGAGAGCTGAGAATCAGATATATTAATACAATCATTTTTAAAACAATTTGTTATTTCGGTTATTTCATTAATAAGCATTTAAAAAATTATTTAGCTACTATAAAAATCTTAATTATAAACTAAAGTAAAAAACAATTCAAGAATAATATTTTTCAATGTCATTAGTTGAGTAAATACACAATTTCATGAATTTAGTCTATTTATGTCTTACCTGTGAAGACGAAAGCTTATTTACAAAATAATGAAACCTCCAACTGCTTTTAAAAAATGAGCTACCAACCGACTCATATCACGCATACGCAGCGTGGCGCCATCTCATTAGACGCACGACACTTTTGCGGCTAATTAAAAAATAAGGCAGCTTTGAGCTTATGTGTAATGCCCTTGGATATGATACTTTGCGGTTAATAGCAGTATGCTAAATGTAAGGCAAGCCGTTTTATTTATGTGTTCTAACAATAATATTTAATTATGTTTCGGCTTGTGGGAGTATAAAGCTTTTATTTTATATTAAATCCTCATTTATTTGTTTATTTAACGATTTGTTAAACAAAAAATATTTATAGCAAACTCGTCCTTAGAGTTTCCAGTCATGTTTGACAATTCGTTTCCTCATATTTTCACAGTGATTATTCTGGGTTTAATTTTGGGCTGCCAACAACTTAACGTTCGGTGCCCTCCTTGTTGTTGGTGGTGCTGGTGTGGTTGTTATTATATCCTTGTTGCCATATCCTTGAAACTTTTTTCGGCGCCAGGCATGTGCTCGTTGTAGCCAGTGACGTATATTTAACATGCCGCACCGCAACTCCGAACCGCCGACACCCATCACGAAAAGGAGCCGCCACCCACTCCGTTTTCGAGATTTTCCAGGACCCCGCGCCAAAAAGCATGCTACGATTTCTGAGTGTTGGCATGTTTGCTGTCAGAAAATTGTCAGAATCGTATGAAACATTTTTCGCCCGGCTGCGATGGTGGTTCCCCCAATTTTCCAACTGCCTCGCCTGCCAGCGAGCTAGATTTTTCATTAGGCCTGATGATTGGAAAAATTGACAGGCGCTTTTCCCAAAAGCGATAACTTTATAGTGTGGCAGTGTGGCTGTGTGTGTGTGTGTGTGTGAGAGTGTGTGTGAGTGTGGGCCAGACAATTGACGAAAATCCATAACAACAACAATGTACGTGCGGGGGCAAATGGCTAATGCACATGGCAATAAACTTTAACATGCCAATGCATTTGGAGAGGCGATTCCGAAATGGAAGTAAATCAGGATGACGAGCGGTCGGGGTTTTCGGCCGGGGGCGGTAAAAACAGCGATAAACCCCGCGTTTTAGATCCCATGATGTTCGGTACTTTTTTCATGGGACTACATTGCAATCACCAAGTTAAAATATATGCTGATTTTGGAAGATAACATATTAAAGCTTTACTTAATGCAAACTAAATAGGTTTTGTATAAGGTGCACGATAATATAAATATATATAATTTTGTTTGTAG